AGCTCGAGCTTAAGCTTCAAATATACGGTCATAAAATACGATCCAAACTCTAATATCTTCGTATTGGTCTAATAAGATCGAGAATTTCCATAATTCTGCAAATTCCTACAATAATACCAACTCTACAAAAACATTAAAAAAACGTATATTAGTAATAAAAATAGCTCCGTAGAGCTCAAATAAGCACAAAAATGACCATGGGATGGGGGATAAAAAATACTTATAAAATAAACTCATCAGCAAATAAATCGGATTCATCCGTCTCTACTCATAAGGTCGGTTGTTTGCCAGGGTCTAAGGAGTCTTGAGTGGTTGGGGCCGATTCCTCTTCAATTTGGAGCAGCTCCAATTTTAGTTCGTTTCAACTCACCCTCACCAATTCTTCTCTAAGGCCAGAGGGCCATTTGATTAATCCACTCGTTCTGATGCATCCGTGGGACCCAGACGAAGTAGAGGTGAGCAGCGACGCTGGCTCACAAGTGGAAGTGACCGCCTCATCTTCCTCCTTAATGGCCCCAAAGGATTATCCTTTTTCCCTCAAGGGTTGTTGGTATGACCCAGAGATCGGTTACCTGTTAAATAGGTTAAACCAAATATGTGTAGATTTTAATTTTTACATTTTTTTTATATTGATGGTTTCAAAGGACAAGTGAGGTGGATGGGTTTTTAGTGATTTTGAAGGACGAGAGGTGGGGTGGGTTGGGTGCAAGGTGGTTTTGGGGAAGGGAGGGGGTGGGTGGGGTTTATGATGGACCTGATCAAGTATGGCCCGGCCCGTTGGCCCGACCCGATATGAAGCTCACAGCTCACAGTTCCTTTTCAGATCGATTCGAAACAGTCGAGTTTAACGGTTCGGGTTAAAAACTTACAGCTCTATATGAAAGTATACATTTGATCAACAGTGTGAACCATACCTTGAATTATTGTACGACTCAACTAGAAAAAGATCCCAATAAATGAACTTTGTGTACCATACCTTGAATTATTGTACGACTCAACTAGACTTAACTAGAAAAAGATCCTAATGCAGGGTTGTCAAAGCTGACACGATACGAATTCGACACGAAATAAGTAGGTTTAGGTCAAGAATCCTCGACATGTTTAAGTAATTATGTCGATATGAACCTGACACGAATTTAAACGAGTTAGATTTGGGTTGAACTTTTCAACCCGAAACTGACACACATAACCAGATTATATTAATGAGTTGAACGTCAATCTGAATCCGACATGCTTAACTTGTCTATTGAAATAGTCAAAATAATCGAATTTTTTTTTATGTCAATCTTACTAACCCTTCTAACTACATCATTTGGTAGTATAAATACTTTAGTAAAAACTTTTAGCGGGCAATTTTTTTGATTTGGGCGGACAAATTTTACTACTTTTTCATTTGAAAGTCTTTTATAGTCTTGACTTATCCTTACCACCCTCAATTCTTACACAACGTTTTTTTTTCACTTGACTTATCCTTCTACTGTTTTTTTTTTTTTTTTTTTTTTTTTTTTTTTTTTTTTTTTTAATAAAATATGTCATTTTTAATTTAAAATATGAATATTAATAAGTTTATTAAGTACTAAACTATATAATGTCTTAAATGAATTAATAAAGTAAGTGGTAAAAGGTTGCCCGAGTAACCCATTTAATAAGCGGATTAGGTTTGGAATAATCAAGGGTTTCAACCCATTTAATAAATGGGTTAGCTTTGGGTCAAGGATTTATCAACCCGTTTAATATTAACACAAACATGAATCTGACATGACATGATCCGTTAGACATTTCTAACTAAATGCACTTTCCTAACTGAACTCATCTAGAAAAAGATCTTAATAAATGATCGATCGATCATTACTTCAGACAAATTTTATCAACCATCTTTAGAAAATTTCATATACATTTTCGAAAACGCATTGAATCTTTGTAAAGTTGTAACGCCACAAATCTGATCTGAACCTTACTTTAAAGAAAATAAAAAAATAAGTTTTTTTTTTGCGTGAAATATTGAATTTGTATTGTATTCCTACAGAATCTAATACGTAGTACTCCGTATGTCATATCATATCATATTATATCACATTATTAGTGTAACAACTTTGATTGGATAAGCTTGGAGCCTTAGATAACAAACTAACCAACCAAATGGCAGCAAAAAAAAAAAAAAAAAAAAAAAAATAGAGATGGATAAGCTTGGAGCCTTGGATAACAAACTAACCAACCAAATGGCAGCAAAAAAAATAGAGAGGTGATAAAAATAAATATATAAATCACAAGAAGGAAATGGACGGGATTATAATGCTTTTAGAGGGAAAAAAAAAAGTGTCACTTTAGTATCTCCCTAGTCCCTTCGTTTTATTTTGTTAGGCCCTGTTCACCTCACCTTAAAAAAATAATATTAAGTAAAAATAATTTCAGTTCAGTAAAAATCAATTTTAATCAGTAAAATTAATTTAAGTTCAGTAAAAATAATTTCATTTCAGCAAAAATAATTTCAGTTCAGTAAAAATAATTTCAGCAAAATTAATTTAAGTTCATGTAATTTGATGCTTTATTTACTAGGCTTTTTTATGTAAATTATTTTTTCCATATATTGCAAAATATTGTTGTACAAGATTTTTTAATACTTCACATATATTTTTTTATGCATCACTTTTGTCTATACTTTTATCACATATTTTATAGTTATAAAATATAATATCTTTTTTTTTTGTCAAGTATAAAATATTATGTCTTATTGATAATATTGTAGTCGGTGATATTTGGTAAATACAAGTACTATATTTTATAAAAGGGTAACAAAATTCATCGTAATAGCATACCTAATCAATTACAATAAATTCAATAAGATATTGAAAAATGATATTCATATATGATTATATATGCATGATCTATACAATACTACCAATATGTCGTTATATTTTTTTTTTTTTTTTGCTTAAATATCACATGCCTTGATATGATCAATCAATCTACCAATATTTGCTATAATTATTTGTAAATTACATGCAGTTAACCAACATATACGTAGTAAAAAATTGACCAACAATTCAAACCAAAAATTTAATTAACAATATTTTTTTCATGCATGTCATAAATTGTGCTAAAGTCTTTGGGTTTGAGATCGTTAACTCCAACTCGCTGCTTTAGAAACTATTTTAACGATCAACTATATATTTTAATAGTCTCATATAATCATATATATATATATATATATATATATATATATATATATATATATATATATATATATATATATATGCCGGAATTTCACAATGGGCCTCCACCTCGAGGAATGCTGGAACATTACAATTATCGCCATTCTTCATTGCGTACTACAATTGAAAGGTGTTTTGGCAACGTTAAGGGGCAATGGAAAATTTTGAAAAACATGCCACAAATGTCTCAAACATATCAATTATCAATCATCTTATCAACGTTTACTCTTCATAATTTTATCCGATTGTACACTTTAGGGATACCAATTTCAGAAAGATGTGCAAATGTTGAGCCTAGAGCGGAATACTCCATATTTGTTGAAGGTAGGAAAGCTCAGGTGGATATAGTACAAAATCAGATAGCATAACATATTTGGCAATCAGTTAGGGACATCGAGGAAGAAGATCATCATATGGACATTGAATAATAAATTTAAATAGTCATATGCAATAAGAAGCAATCCTTGTAATAATTTATGATTATAATAAAGTTATGATTTTATTCTTATTATTATTAGTTTTATTGTTTTGGTATGTTTGGCGGTAAAGTTAGGCAACGAAAGGCAGTATCCCTAAACCTAATATCATATACAAGTATATCAAATACATATTCCCATAATATATAGGCCAACCATTTTTATATACGATATTATGTAAATTTATATGGTTGGCATAATATATTATCGTTATATATGCCAACTATATAAATTACAAAAATAGATTATTTTACCTAATACATCTATATATATATAAATATTAAATCAGTAAAAATAATATCTAAATCAGTAAAAATAAGTTCAGTTCAGTAAAAATAGTTTCAGTTCGGTAAAATAAGTTCAGTTCAGTAAAAATAATTTCAGTTCAGTAAAAATAAGTTTAGTTCAGTAAAAATAATTTCAGTAAAAATAAGTTTTAATCAGTAAAAATAATTTCAGTTCAGTAAAAATAATTTCAGTTCAGCAAAATTAAGGTGAAGTGAACGGGGCCTTAGTCCCCTTTGAAATTAATCACTGAAATAAGAAAAGGAGAATTTGATTGCAGCTTTGTAATTAGTGTTTTATCTTTTTCTGCTTTATTTGTTTTATTTACGCGAATTGGTTGTAATTAAATCGCCTATAGTAAATCTTAATTGGAAGAATTTGTCATGTCAACAATCCACTAGCATATATATTAAACCAATCAGCATTATTTAACTCTTTAAATACTCAATTAGATTAATTATTCATAGATTAGGAAAATTATTCACCCTATAATAATGTTGGAATATATTCCATATAAGTACTTCATATATCTTTTTGTTTTTTTGAAACGCCTATAATAATAATGGGACTAACAAAGTGAAATGGTGGAAGTATAGAAGATTTACGGAAATCTGTGACCTTATAATTTTACAAAGATTTCGATCTAATTTATGACCTTACAATTTTACAAAGATATCTTTAGAAAATTTGTCTCAAGTAATGATTAAATGATCATTTTCCCATTGATGGCCCTTAACTTTTCAAAATTCCAACGGTAGAAAAAAAAATAAAACTTTCTCATTCGTGACCCTACCTATTTTTATTTCCCCAAATGTAGCATTAATGAGCTAATTCCGTTAAATATCTGTTAATATCTAACTAAGGTTAGCTTTGGTTAACATAAATAAAGTACATTTAGAATTAGAACTACCTAACTTTAACTTTATTAAATGCTTTTTATGCTATTTGGCTGTGTACTAATGTTATGCTTCTTATGAAATAATGGGTAACGTGAGCTAATATTAATCTTCTAGCATTGACACCAACATAAGCAACAACAATTGAATTAACCCAAAACCATGTTTAATAATGTCATTAAATGGCTAAACGTGAGCAACCACCAAAGTTGGTTAACTAGTTTAAAGTGCTTCTCCTGTATCACAAAAAGACACTACTATTCACCTGAAGTTTATTCTACCACATACTTATTGAAAAAAAAAAAAAAAAAAAAAGAAGGCACTATCATACAACTTTTGTCACCAAGGCTGAGATAAAGACATAGCAGCATGTGTTTTTTTTCTATTAGTAACAGGTTGGGTTGATGAAATATTGGTTGAGGATCTAGTTCTTTTCCCAAAACTTCTGAAGTAGCTGCTTTGTTTTTGCTTTGCTTCTTAGAATTCTTCACATCAGTTACCTTTGTTTTTTTGTATATCCCCCCTTACAAGTCAGGGCATTATGTCCAGGCTTCTTACAAACGCTGCATGTGACTGTCTTGCTTCTTTGTCCTTTTCAATCTTCTTATTCATTTCTTCTCCTATTCCTGCAAGGTCTCCCTACTCCTCTTTTCATTTTTGGTGGCTCAATGATGGCAAATCTATCTCAGGCCATTGTTCAGTGTCGGGAATAGATTTTATGCCATGAGCATATGCTAACTTGTACAACTTGACAGAATACCACTCATGTACAAATTTGAGTGGGTCCATCCCAGCATACAAAATAGCCCTCATCCCATGTTTGCAAGGTATCCCACTAATTTACCACAGACCACATAAGCATGTATGGTATTCAAACTCACTTTCAATGCTGATTTGCCATCAAGTATCTCAAATTCTCCATCTTGTGAGAGTAATGCCTTGCATGTTCTGGATTCCTGGCATAGAGTTTGCACTCTCTTGATGATATTTGGACATACATCTTCTCTATCCCATTCTTCACAATTTTGCCTTCTTGTTGCAAGTCTCACCATAGTTACTCTTTTTATACCTTTCAAAACTAATGACAGCATTAATAACATCATGTAATGAATGCAATTTACAGAAAATTACAATGTTTGTGATCATCATACCTTCAAGTAAAGTAAGCACTGGTCTACACCTATCAATGCCTAGTGTAGCATTAAAACTTTCCACAAAGTTTGTTTTGTTAGTATCACACTTCACTTTAGGATCAAACTTGTGCTTGGTCCACCTCTCTTGATCTCCTAACTTTGAAAGCCATATTAAAGCCGCTGGATTAGTCTTCTGCAATCCTTCCTTGACTTTTTATAAAGGTAAACAAAGAGGTTGCACCACATGCTTTCCAAAATAGACTATGCATAAGTGGCCCTTTGAAAACTCTGCCAATTTGCACACAAGTGCTAAACAATATCTTCTTCCAGCTTGAGGCCAAAGTTCAGTTAATGCTGCATCAATGCCCTGTGTCAAGGTATAAACAAAGTTGGTTAGAAAGTGATCATGAATAAAACATCATAATTAGTTAAGGCTATTAGATACCTTTTGCCTATCAGAGATTATACATCAGTCATCTCCTCTTCCACTATCTTTTAGTGCATTCTTGAGATGCCAAGCAAAGAACTTCCAGCTTGCAACAATTGCCCATGCAAATGGAAAAAGCTCATTATTGCCATCTAAGACAACTGCTGACAGCATTATTCCACCATAATTTCCCTTCAGGTGGCACCCATCTACTCCCACCTAGCCTCTACAGCCAAGAAACAATCCATCAATTGCTCCCTTAAATGCTATAAATATGCTGGTAAATTCTAAGGGCTTCTCAGGATGAGTAAGTGGATTCCATGCACAGAAGGCAGATGAACCAGGGTTGGTGATCATGATCACTTCACAATACTTAGGGAGATGACAGTATGACACATCAAATCCTCCATGTATTTCAATCAAAGCTTGACTCCTCATTCTGTAAAGAGTACTTTTAGTCATATGAACACTGTATCTTTGCCATAATAGGTTATTTAATGACTTGGCTGGGATGTCGTTGTTTGCTCTAATGTCCTCTAACAACACCCTTGCTGCCCACTTTGCACTCACCATAGTGTTCCCTAGTCACTAAGCCAAAACATGTATGTTCTGCATTTTTTATAGTTTTAATAGCCCATGTGACTCCATCTGGCAGCCTGGATGCATGTAACCTCCATGAACAGTTCTCTGCACCACATTGGACGGTGTATCTAGAGTTATTGGTTTTGTCCACAATGATTGAAAATCCACATTGGATGCAATAATCTCCCACCGCGTCTCTTAATTGAGCCTTATCCATAAACAATTGCCATGGTTTCAAAATAATTTTTCCAAACTCCATAGTGTTGTACACTTCACCATTTGCATACAACTTATTCATGTAGTTCTCAGTATCCTCTCCATCAATAGTGTTCTCCCACATTGGCTCATCATAAGGATCATAGTTATCATGAATCATGGGCATGTACTCATCTTCAGAGCTATTCTCTTCATCTACACTTTCATCTGTATCATCTCCATTGTCACTGTCATAATCTTGGAGATAATCATCACCCTCTGCTTCATCATCCATGTTCTCTAACTCGACATCAGTACTCAAACTGATTGAGAGATTTCTTCTCCTGGGAGCCAATTCCTTTTCAATGTTATCAGCAGGGGTGACTTGTTTTTTGCTAATAAACACCCCCCTTCTTTTTTGAATGGTAATTGGCATCATTTTGTGAAGATTCTTTGAAGGTTTAGGAAAATTTAGTGAAGCAGGAACCTCTTTTCTCAACAATTCAGGTGTTGGGAGGATTGGATGAGATGATGTAGCTATGACATTTGGGTTTGGTTGATGCCTAGGGGATCTTCTTATAGTTGGTTGGCTTGAGAACATGTCAAGGGTAGGAGTTACAACTGTTTCAGTTGGTTGAATTTGTCCTCCCCTGCCTCTACCCCTACATGTCCCTCCATCCCTTCCCATTCCTCTTCCCCTTCCCCTAATAGGTGGTTAACTGTGTGAAATGGGAGATATTTCAATGTTATCCCACATGTTTGACTTCATCGGACTGTAATGAAGGATGTCAGGTGGGCTAAGAGGTGGGCTGATGGGTGGGTTTAGCCTTATACTCCTCCTAGGTGTCGATTTCTGCAATGCATTAGAGGATTCTCCCACTCTTGATTGAGACAACCCCAACTTCCTAGCTGCCACTACAAGGTCACTAGGCTCAACTACCCCTCCAACCCATATATAGATGCAATTTGTCCCATGTAACTTATTAAACATTTCCATTAGATCCTTGTCATTGTTCACTGCCCAGTTTTTCATCTGAAAGGCGTAGCTAAAGGTGGGACAATTAGGCTTAGGTATTTGTGCAGCCATAGCACCATTCCAGTACTCAACAATAAGGTCAAGTAGCATAACCTTGTCAACATCATCCACAATTACATCAATGTCTTTACCCCTGTATTGGAACTTTAAGATAACATTCCCACTCATACAGTCATACTAACTGCAATAATCAAATAAAATGACTAGTTTAAGAACCATACTAAGTATCAAAAATAACTTTAAATTACTACGGAAACAAAATTCACCGTACCATAAAACACAACCAATACTCAGAAGCATCACTTAATACAAGCAAAAAAAATTTAAAAAAAAAAAAAAAAAAAAAGTGAAAATATGATTGTTTACTCCAACAACCAATTGCAAAAATAGCTAATATCAATATGAAAAATAAAGGCAGCCATAAAACAAGGAACAAAGCATAATATTTAGAGTATATCATGTATGTAGGGTATTCTCTCGTGATCTTTAATTGGTACGGAGTAATGAATATGGCTTTACTTGACATGCTCATCATAATGAGCTAGCAGACATATAATTTTCCAAAGATTCTACTTGTATTCAAGCGAAACAACATATATTAGCAAGGACTAGTATTATCAAATTAAAATTCTCAATTAAAAATCTATCTATCTCATCCAATTTACGAAATTTTATCAATGGAAGGGTGAAATTATGGGTTGCATACCTGATTGTAGTATTAACGAACTTTGCTCTAAAAAGCCTCAAATTCAAATCACGCAACCCTATAATGACTTCGAATTTTGCCCAAAATCTCAAAAAAATCAACTCCACATCATGTAGAAAATTCGAATTATGCAATAATTTAGAGTTTAATTGTTGTTTATTGGTTTACAAAGCATAATTTAGATAATGGGCTTGGTGGCATGGGAGGGTTTGATCGTGTCTTTGTGAGGAAGATGGAGAGTTTAATGAGGGGACATGAAGATGCTGGGGTAACGGGATTTTTTTCCAAAGTAAGTTTAATTACAAAATTATTTTGTAAAGTAGACTCGTGGTCAAATTATTTATCAAACTAAGCTTTTAGAGTAAAATGCTGTATTTATACTCTAGTTTTTTAAAAAAAAATTCAATGTGTAAAACGTTGTATGGGACAGCGTTTTACATGTTGACTTTTTTTTTTCTTTTTTTTTTTTAAATTTTCGTAATTTCTGATTTTTAAAATTTTAAAAAAAAAAGTTCAAATACACTAAAAACGCTAACCCAGGTAGCGGTTTATGTACTGAATGTTGGGAAAAAATTCAGAGACAGCGTTTTATGTATAAATTTATTTTTTACATAAATTTCTGCTGGACTGCAGCAGTCAACAGCTTCCTCACTCCAAATTCAGCCCCCAACCCACCACCCCCAGCCTTCATTCAGCCACCACCCTCCAACCCCACCCCCACCACCAACCCCAACCTCCCCACCACCATTGACCACCACCAACCACCACCTCCCGCCACTTTTGCCCACCCTTAGGCACTTCAAAACACTCCAACCACCCCCAACAACACTACAACCACCATGAACCACCACATTAACCACGACCGGCCATCGCTTCTACCCCGTTTCTCAATATGGAGCCCAAATGTTTTGTGTTTGATAAATATCGGCCTAGAATGATCTATTTTGACTGACATAAGTCCGATTTGGACAAATAAGGAAATTAAACTTCAACCCGCACACAGATTTATTCAAAAAACATTTATTATATTAATAATGTAAGTGTTATATACATTAGACTAGAAAATTCGATTACAGCAAATAAATCAGATAATACTATCCTGACTCATTTATTCGGGATAACGGTTCTCTATCCTGTTTTTCGTCCCTCCATCTAACACGACACCGCCTGTAATGAATAATGGTGGTAAATGGGTCTGGGGGCGGTGGCGGAGTCTGTTGGCTGGACGATGGGTCCTCCGGGGTAGGGGTGGGCGCATAATTGTGGATGATGTAATCCTCTGCGACTTTGGGTGACGTAGGATCACCTCCACCGCTACTCTGGCCGAATTCGAACCGTGAATGGACGGAGTGGCCTTCATGACCGTCCCGCGGTTGGACGAGATAGCCGTGACCATATCTCTGCAAGGTAGCCACGCCCATATCTCGCACTCGCTCGACCTGGGCTCTGGTGGGTCCATCTGCTAGGGCGTCTGATACTGCATCAACCACCGCCACCATATCCACCGCCTGCAGTTATCATCGATCAGTCAGTTGTATGATATAGAAATTTAAAAATTGATGAAAATAAGTAAATTAAATAAACTCATATATCCGCTAATGACGTCAAAGGCTGGATGGTAATGTGTGGATCGTGGCGTGTAGCTGGGGTTGATGAAACGCCGTGTAATCCGCCTGTACCAGACCATGTATGGATCGTAAGGATCCATAACGCCCTGGAACGGATCACCGGCGACGACGAACTCCAACTGTCGCTGCCATAGGTCAATACATGCTCCAGTGACCAGTTTGTCTCCCCCTTTCCCCGATGGTCAATGCCGTGCAGGTGGATACTAGTGTCACACTACTGGGGGATAGGCTGGCGTAGTCTAAACTGTCGCATGACTCGGTCGGGTAGGTGACTCTCCACAACCTCGAAGCACATCAGGGGGGTCCTGGCACGCCACTTTGCTTGATGATCCAGTAGATGTGCAGGCATGTCATCTACTAAGTCAGCTACATACGGATCCCATATATGTCATCTGCAATAACACATCAAAAGTAATATCGTAAATAGGTTAGTGCACAGACATTATACATATTAAATAAATGTTTACAAATTCCTTTTAAGTTACCACATGATCCTCGGTGAGTCGGTCAAGGGCGTCTCGGTAGTACGGAAGACCCCTCACCGTATGTGCATGTGTTAGTCTAGGGACCACCCACCTAATACCAAATTTTTTTGTAGTTTGTCTACTAGCAAAATAAAACCGTATGAGGTCTAAAATAATGACAACTATTACAAACCTGCAACCATACGCCTCGTCAGGTGTAGGGAGCGGTGGAGTAACGTACGCCTGGTACTGCTGGTCCCGATCTTGCTGCCCCTAATGATGTACAGCAGACCTACCTGGTCTGCCTACATGGATGTGCTCCCAAGCCCATAACTGTAATACAAAAATACAAAACTAGGTTAATTATAAACTACGTAAGTAATTGCCAAACTAGATTGTCGATAATTAGGTGGGTTACCTGAAGCATAATCAAAGGACCTCCGATCTCGCCAGAACCACGGTGGGATGTTCTACACAGCTGGCAATACAACGTCTCCAAATAGGCACTACCCCAGCTGTAGCCACGGATATGATCACAGTCGTGGTCTAACAACTGTAGGTAAATAAGTTGCAGATGGCTCCCGTTCTTGTTGCCGAACAACACGCTTGAGATGAGCAGGAACAAGTATGCTCGAGCGTGTCTCTGAACCGTGGCGTCATCAGCATCCATAGGCAGCACACGGAAAGTCTCGCGTATCCAGCCGGTCCTCAACCCAGAGCCCCTGATATCGTTGAGACCTGGCTGAACCCCTAGAACCCGAGCTACCAAACCACCGGGATCGACTAACACGAGTCCTGTCACCGCGGTCCTGTGTATAGGAAGGCGCGTGAGTATCGCCAAGTCCTGCAACGTAACGGTTTTCTCCCCAACAGGTAGATGGAAGGAGTGCGTCTCCTGTCTCCATCTCTCCGTGAACGCAGTGACAAGCGCTCAATCGATCTCTCTGAATGCCATCCGATGAATACCACCCAAGCCAGCTAACTCGACGTACGGAATAGCGCGTGGATCAACAACCCAGTCACCCATAACCCTGGTAGTGTAGTGCCGGCAAACCAGCATCCTCGCTATATCAACCTGATAAATAACCGTACGACCATAAATAATATTAGATACTGTATCAATTTAACATGCGTACAAGTACATGAACTGACGAATGAAATATTACCGACTGATCCCATATGTCAACGCTCCGATGTTTGTCCAGTAGTGTCAGGACAGAAGGGTCAATAGGTCCGGGTGTCCTATCTTATCCGTCCATGATATTTGTTCATTAACAACGTTATATACCAATTATCAACACAATTCCTGGATTAGCAATTAAACACGAGCAGCAATTAGGGATTGAGGAATTAAAGGCAACGACAAATGGAAAATTTCAAATGTCAAACTTTAAAATAGAAATGTTCCAAGTGTTACAAATGTTACAAACGTTACAAATTCAGATACAAAATCAATCTAGTATTCTACTACATTAATTTACTAATACAAACTTAGGTCCCGGTCGGTCTAGATGGACACGTTCTCTGGTTGTGACCCTGCTGGTGACAGTGGCTGCATTTGCTCGAGGGGCGGTTAGTCTCATCCATTTCATTGCGAATGCGCTTTGAATTTGGCCGACCTTTTCCTCGTACCATGCTGCCGTCCGGAATGAGTTTAGGGCCGATGTACTCTGTCCAGGTCGTCTCACAGGGGATAGACCAGAACTGTGGTGCATAGGTGTTCGTATAGGCCTCCGATTGCAGTACAGGGTCCACCCATGGCCGCTATAATAGTGAATACGTCGCACAAACTGCTAGAACATGAGAACATGGGAGGTGAAATATCCGTGGTTTGTTGCATGTACACGTTCTCAAATGAAAGTTAACAGTATGTTTATGACCTCCTTTTCTACCAAGTCGCTCTCCCTTTTCTATTGTAACTTGATATATATGCAATCGACAGTTATACGCATCCACTCTGTGATATCTTGCTTTTGCGGTGTTCTTCTCCAGAATAGCAGTGACCTTGGGGGGGTATGCAAGTCCCTGTTCAGACCTAGCCTCAGAAGATTCCCTTCTTAAAGTGAAGTACCTGTTAACTCTTTGGAAAGTTAACTCAACAAGGGACATGATCGGCAGAAACCGAGCTCCCTTCAACACGTTGTTAAATGTTTCAAAGAAGTTTGTAGTACATATCCCAAATCTGCGATCAGCGTCGTGAAACAAAGACCACATAGGAAATGGCACTTGGACAATATACTCTAGGGACTTGGTACATGCCTGATCGATCGAACACAAATCAGCTTGCAGTTTTCTTTCTTGCCTTTGGTACGCAGCGGCCTTGAACGTATCTCTCGTGTTGTTGCTTCGCACGTGAGTTTTCAAGTTGGAAGCCATGTGGCGAACACAAAACCTATGATAGGCTCGCGGCTCGTTGAATCCAACGTTAGGATCATTCATTGCTGCAATGATCCCCGCATGTCGATCAGATATAACACAGAGGCCATCTCGTTGCGTGACATGAACCCGAATGCAGCCTAGAAGCCAAGACCAGCTGAAAGTGTTTTCCCCTTCGACCAATGCAAATGCTAGCGGAAATACTTGGAAGCTTGCATCCACACTTGTAGCAACCAACAATGTTCCTTTATACTTCCTGTACAAGTACGTCCCATTGACACAGATAACAGGCATACAATGTTTAAAACCATCGATTCAAGGACCGAAGGCCCAAAGCACTCGTTCAAAAACTTCCATGTTGCTTTAGTAAATACCATCCACCAGAGCTTTGTGTTTCCATACAACAACGGTTCCTGGGTTTGACTGTTGGAGTGCTTGTATGAAGTGCGAAAGTCTGCCGTAAGAACTCTCCCAATCCCCAAATATTTCAG